GGGCTGGAGGTGATGTCAGGAGCCTGACGGGGGCCACCAGGGGCTGGAGGTGATGTCAGGAGCCTGACGGGGGCCACCAGGGGCTGGAGGTGATGAGGAAGCTGTGGTTTGGGATTCACAGAGCAGAAGAACACCATGGTGTTCTTGGGGAATTTTTGTCTTCTTTCTTTCTAAATACACTAGCTTGGCATTCAGCCAGGAGCCAGTAACAAAATCTAAGAGTGCACACAGATAAGAGAGCCCACGGGTAGTTCAAAGACTGAAGTTACTGGTTAGGAAATTAAAATCATTAATTTACATGTTTAGCAAAATTGATAAAGGACAGGTGTGGTCGCACTGTGGGCATTAGGACTAATGCTACAAGGCAAAATGTGTATGAATAATTGATTAAAAAACCAATAGGCTTTGTTTTCTCACTTAAATCACAACTTACATAAAAGGAAGGAAAATGGATTAAAAAGTAGACATTATTACCACAGAGCTGAAAGAGAAATCACATATATGTAAAGTCAATAAAAAATAACTTGAAAAACAACTATGAGATATCATCTCACCCCAGTAGGAATAGCAAACTTTAGTAAAACAGCAAACAACAAATGCTGGCAAGGTTGTGGAGAAACTGGAACCCAGTTGTAGTGTAAAATGGTGCAACCACTGTGGAAGGCGGTATGGCACTTTCTCAAAAAGTTGCAAATAGAGATACCATTTGACCCAGAAATTCCATTACTGGGAATTTACCCCAAAGGGACCATAACTGCCACCCAAGCAGAGAGAAGCACACCCATGTTTATCTCGGCTTTGTTCACAATAGCAAGGAGCTGGAAACAACTCAAGTGCCCATAAACAAACAAATGGATGGAGAAGCTCTGATATATTCACACAATGGAATACTATGCTGCATTGAAAAACAAGGAACTCATACAATATTATTCAAAATGGGTGACCCTGGAGGAAATTATACTGAGTGAAATATCTCAGTCACAAAAAGACAAATATTGAATACTGCTACTGTTGTAAAACAGGACTGACATCGAGGTTGGGGGGAGACTGAGAAAGATGGGATAAATTATATTGCATTGAAACAGATGAGGAAGACAACCGTTTAAAAGGAATATATGATTAGGTATTATTGTCATGACAGGAGTCCAGAACGAAGGCTGCACAGTGGAGTGGACTTAGGGGAAAGGATTGTATAACAATGAAAGAATTTTACTTTTCAAAAAGCAGAGGGAACTGGGGGTGGGGAGGGGTGAGCAGGGAGAAAAGTGCAACAATGAATGAATGGAAATCCAAAGCCCCTATAATCTTTCATTACAATTAATAAAAAAAGAAACAGTAACTGAATGGAAACCATGTGAAAGAGAAAACAGATGCTAGAATGGGCCACAGTAAGAAGAGCCACATCTATGTGTGCAGAACCAGCAGACCGGCAGAGCAGGAAGGAGAAGAGAGCGATATATTCTGAGCTGGCTGAGAAATTTCCAAACACTGATGAAGGATATCAAGCCATTTCTTTCTGAATCACAGCAAATCCCAAGCAGAATAGAGACCACCACACACACAGGCACAGGTGGTGATGCTGATGGGAGCCATGGACACGTGTTTACACGTAGCTCAGAAAAGAACAGACAGTGCTCCTTCTGCGAGTAACAGTAAGACTTCCCAAAGAAATGATGGAAGCTGAACGAATGGGATGGCATCATCCGGATTCTGAACTAGAATATGCACAATCTAGATCAAAGACAGCTCTCAAAAACGAACGTGCAAAGTCTGCGTGAAAAGAAAGCAGGTCTTCATGGCAAAATGACCGATTCTTGGAGATGGACAGGGAGAAGCACAGAAAGGTTCTCCTTGGGACTGCCAAAGTCAGTACTTTTCAATTGCGATAGAAAGAACTAAACAGGGAAAGAAAACCTAGCAATGAATGTGAAAGCTAGGAGCTCAAAGAAACCTCAATGTGAGGAAGGTAGAGGGTCAGAGAGCTGGACTGACCCGAAGACCACAGCAATGGGTTCAAGTGCATCAGAGGAGGAGGTGGTGCAGGACAGGGCAGGCTCAGATCTACCACTGACAAGGGCGCTGGGAGTCCAGTCGACTCGACGGCACCTAACAACAACAACAACTACTGCAAGATTCACGAGGCGCAGGGCATTTTCCTGATCTCTGGAAGCTGATCTGCCAATTACAGGACACCCTTCTTTGGAATAGGAACAAATACAGATCTCTTCCAGTCAGTTGGCCAAGTGGTTGTTCTCCAGATCTCTTGGCACAACTTGGTGAGCACATCCAGGGCAACATCTGTTAGCTGAAATATCTCAATGGGGATACCATCTATTCCTGGGGCCTTATTTTTTTGCCATTTCCTTCAAAGCAGCCTGAACTTCTTCCTTCATCATCATAGGCTACTGCTCATATGTTGTTTCATAAAATTCTTCTCTGTCTGCCAGTTCCTTTTGATACAGTGACTCAGTATATTCTTTCCACCTTCTTTTAATACTTCCTGGATCATTTAACATTCTGCCGAAAGCATCCTTGATTATAGCAGCTCAAGGTTTTGAATTTGTTCTTCTGTTCCTTGAGCTTAAGAAACGCTGAGCGAGTTTGGCCCTTTTGATTTTTTGACTCCAACTCCTTACACATCTCATTGTAGTATTTTACTTTGTCGTTCCATGCTGCCTTTTGGAATCTTCTGTTCAACTCTTTAGTATCTTGAATTCTTCCTTGTGCTTTGGCTTCTCTGCGCTCCAGTGCAATTTTCAGAGTCTCTTCTGACATCCGTTTTGGTCTTTTCTTCCTCTTCTATCTTTGCAATGACCATCTGCACTCTTCCTGGATGATACCCTTGATATCCTCCCACAACTCATCTGGTCTTCGCTCATTAGTGTTCAAGGCCTCAAATCTGTTCCTGAGATGGTTCTGAAATTCAGGTGGTATAGACTCAAAGTCATATTTTGGTTCCTGTGGATTTGGTTTAATTTTCCTCAGCTTCACCTTGAACCTGCATATGAGTAGTTGGTGGTCTGTTCCATAATCAGCTTCTGGCCTAGTTTTCACAGCTGATATTGAGCTTCTCCAGTGGTTCTTTCTGCAGATGTAATCAATCTGAATCCTATGCATACCATCAGGTGAAATCCATGTATATAACCTGCGTTTATGTCTCTTAAAAAACAGATTTGCAATGATTAAGTCATTGGTTGTGCAAAATTCAATCATTCTCTCTCCAGCTCCATTTCTGTTACCGAGTCCATGTTTTTCAACTACTGAATCTTCTTCTCTGTTCCCAGCTTTTGCATTCCAGTCACACAGTATTATCAATGCATCTTGATTGCATGTTCAATTGATCTCTGACTGTAAAAGTTAGTAAAAGTCTTTATTTCCTCTTCCTTGGCTCTGGTTATTGGTGCATATATCTGAATGATAGTTGTATTCATTGGCCTTCCTTGTATGCGTATGGATATTATCCTGTCACTCACAATATTGTACTTCAAGATGGATCTAGAAATGACTTTCTTAACTACGAAAGCAACTCCATTTTTCCTTGTCTTTTCATCTCCAGAGTAATATATCATATGATCATCCAACTCAAAATGCCCCATGCCAGTCCATCTCATCTCACCCAATGCCTATTATGTCAATATTTATGCATTCCTTTTCTTCCTTAACAATATCTAATTTTCCTATATTCATGGTTCTCACATTCCATGTCCCAATCACCAGTGTCTGCTTACAACTGTTCCTCTTCCTTTCTATTTCCATACTTGAAAGCTCCACCTCAGTTGCCCTTTCTGTTATCTACATGTGTTCTGCTGTACATAGGGTTTTCAGAGGCCTGCTGTTTCAGAAGTGGATGGCCAATCCTTCCTAGTCTATCTTAATCTGAATGTTCAGATTTAGAGAAGTACCAGATAGACCAGCATTTTACAGAAAAGTGAAAGATATATCCCTTATTGTGGAGTTAACCATTAGTAACAGTGTTGTCCCTGCCTTTGGCACACATGTCTTTCACAGAAAATGTCAAGGCCATACAAGACAGAGAAGGCTGAGACACTGCCCCAGGCTGTTACTGTATGTACTGTGGAGTCAACAGTGACTCATAGTCAAGAGGCTCTGAACCCTGTCCTATCCTGGGCCAATATCAGCGTCTCTGACACACGTGCCCCCACTGCCATGGTCTCAATGCCCACCCATTTCATCTAAGGCCAAGTACATTCAATTCTGGATGTACTAGATCCAGGACCTGTGAACAACAGCTCCAGAAGCTATTGAGACAAGTGGTGGGATGTGAACACAGACTATGGTGGTGACGAGAGTTCCTTTATGAAGCCTTTGCCCTCCGTGGTGCTTTGGAAAAACAGCTTGAGAAACTTTCCTTCTAAAAGCCCTGAGGAGTTACTTTAAGTCAGAGATTCTACCCCAGAGGGTCTGTCACTCTGTCCAGCTTCACAGTCATTTCCTGGGTAAGCTCTAAAGAGCCTGTGGTGTGGCACTTCTTGGCTGATCCTGGACTGCAGCCTGACCTGTGATTGGTCAACAAAAAATGCAAATGAAGTGTTTATGGAACATGCAAATAAAGTTTGTGACTTAGGGGGTGTGGCATGTATAGAAACTGACAAGGAATTTGTATACGTAAGCAGGTAGCCGCTCCCATGTTTTTCAGACAAGAGAAAAAGCAAGAGAGAAGAGGCAGAAATAAATGAGGCCAGAAAAATGGAAATAGCTGTAAAAGAGGCAGCAGTGGTAGGCCCAGAAGAGGTCAGCAACAAAGTCAGCGCAGGTGACATGTGGAAGGGCCAAGGCGACTCTGTCTTGGGGGCCTGGGGGTGATGCGAGGCAGTGGCCTGTCTTGGGAGGGGGAGGAGAAGCGTCTGTCCTGAGCAGGCTGAGAGGCACTCAGCACATGCCCCTCTGGCGGGAGGGAGCCTTTCTGCGTCCTGCTGCCTTCATACACCACGTAACAGGATGGTTTTTGCGGCCACTGCAGCAAACCATGAAACCCCGCAGGAAAGTGGAGTGTGATGCGAAGAGACAGCTGGTAAAACTGTCAGAGGGGCGGAAGGTCTGCCCTCTACCTTGGAAGAGCAGCTCTGGGCCAATCCTCAGCCCTGAAGTTAAAGGGCCAGGCAGGGAGGAGGCATGGGCCCTCTCACGTGCTGGAGGAGGAGGGTGGTAGGAGTGGAGACCAAGGTGCCTCCCCTCTCACATCACGAGTGCAGAAACGAGGCTGTGGAAGAAGGCAGGAATTCCTCCTTAGACCCCGTCCTCCCTCCTGCCAGCGGGGACTGGACACCTGTGAAGGACACCAAGATGGCTGTGCCCCTGCCCTGGCCATGAGGGACAGGGCCCAGATGTGGCTGTGCAGTGGCTCCTAGGCTTCTGTGGCCTCAGTTTCCCCACTATGCCCTGAGGTAATGGTGCACCTGTGTGCATGCAGCATTGCCATGGCCCAGGGTCCCCAGCACAGGGTGTGGGGCACGGCCTTCTCTGCTATGGGCCCATCCACGCCCCACCGCAGGCCTGGCCCCACGCGGCCCACTCACCCGCCCGTTGGCCTCGCCCTTCCACCAGCCCTGGTCCCCGCCGATACGGCTGAAGATCTTCACCACGTCGCCTTCTCGCAGCGAGAGCTCCCGCATGTCCCGGGCGGCGAAGTTGTACCTGGCCACGGCCGTGCCGATGACCCGGGGCGTGAATACTGTGGATGACAAGGTGGTGTCACATGCCCAGGGCTGTGCCCAGCAGAAGGAGGCAGAGCTGGGAACTGGCATGAAGATGGGCTTGGGCCCCAGGGCTTCCCGCACCCCTTGGTGACCTCTCTGGGGCTCTGGACCTTCCTGTGCCCCCATCCTCACCGACAGGAGTGTGGGCAGGTATCCCACCCCATTCTGGGCAGCTGAGGGGTCTACAGGTACACATGAAGACTGCCATAGCACCTGTGGGTCCCCACGTGGCCCTCAGACACTGTGGCGACAGTCCCAGAGAAGCACCCCAGCCCAGATCCTGTTGTCAGACCTGCAGATCTGGCCCCTAACTTCTCTCGTGTCCCCAGTCCCCAAGGCCCAAACCCAACTGGAATCCCTCTAGTGTGAGTGGGGCCAGGGACACAGGAGTCCTGGTGGTCGGGGGAAAATGACGGTGACAAGGGAACTGCACACGAATGCAGGTGGCACTGCTGTTCTCAGGTGAGTGAGGAGGGGGCGTTGGCTCTGGCAGCAGAGGTATCCTCCCCGCCCCCACCACCGTCAGCTCTGCCCCACCGCCTGTCCACCCATTTGGTCGCCTGCATTCTCAGCTACCAGAGGCAAAGCTTCGGAGGAGCAGGGAGAGCAAAGGACAGACAAGACTGGTATGGTGGACAGCAGGTGAGTACCCCAGAGGGGTCACGGGGAGGCCGAGCCCTGATGCCTCCCCAGGTGCCCGCAGCAGCTCTGTCCCCTCCTCCCTTTCTTGACCCCCACCCCACCCCCTCCAGGAGGGCTCTGCAGGCAGCTGGGGACACTTCCAGGCAGGGCCATGGGCAGCAGTGGGCAGCCTGGCTGGTGCCAGCGTGTCCCAAGCCAAGCAGCAGCGGTACCTGACCAGAAGGGAGCAGAGGAGCCCTGAGAAGCAAAGCTGAGGCCCTGAGGACTGAGAAAAGAAAAGTTGTAGGAAGCACAGGAAGCTGCAAAGAGGCGAGAGAGAGCGTGAGCGGGGCGGGCGTGGGGGACGTCCACCACACTCAGGCCGCAGGGCCCGGGGCCCACTCGGAGGTCACCCGCTCCACGGGCCGCTGTCGTGGGGAGTCAACATACAGCCAAGCGTGGGCTGAGCTGGGCTGTGAGGACATGCAGGGAGCCCTGGAGGTGTTAGCCACTGGCCAGTTGGCGCTCTCTGCCCAGGGGGGCCCAGGGGGCCTGCAGCCTGTGCACTGGGGGACGCAGGAGGCTCAGTGTGTCAGCAGGGAGAAGCTCTGGGTTCCAAGCTCCCCTGGCCCCTAATCCCAGACGGGCCTGAGCCCTTCCCTGTCTGGGGCCACGGCTGCCCCTCTGAGCACGTGATCACAGCCCGAGGCAGGCATCTGGGGACAGACGAGCCCTGGCCCTGCTCCCCGCCCCCCCAAGCGGAGTACTAGGGTGAGGCTGCAGCAGGCATCTGTGGACAGATGGGATTGGGTCTTCCTTGCCCACCAGTGACAGTTCAGCATGGGCGTCTCTGTGTACGGCCCGAGTCGGCCTCTTGTCTGTCACCCAGGCAGGGGAGGGATGCACTGGGGGACATCATACACCTTCAGGATGGGGGCCAGGAAGAGGTCCCTGGTTTATGTCAGCATGGTCCCAGGAGGGCTGGCGGGTGAGGAGGGCCGGCAGGCCAGGGGCACCGGCCTTACCTGGGGACCGGCTGGAGGCCCTGGCAGCTGCACGCTCCCGGGACTTGTAGGGGTACTTGAGCGTCGTGTCCAGCTGCTTGAAGCTCTCCTTGAGCGAGTGGCACTGGTAGTACTCCACCAACTCCTGCAGACACACACTCACTGGCCGCCGCCTCCAGGCAGTCCTCCCTCAGACCCAGGCCTCCACCTGGGTTCATCTCTACCTGAGTTCATCCGGGGGCACTCTTCTCCTGAACCCCTTCCCGTCCCACCTCAGCACCCAGCCACGAGGGCAGTCAGCGTGAAAAGGCCGTCTGGTGCAGTGGTCACTTCCCAGGGGCCTTTCTAAAGGAGCCAGGGGAGCACTAGTTACTCCAGAGACCACCCAGGTGTCCAGCAAGAGGGGTCCGGCTACAAACAACAATATCCAGCAGGGCCCAGCGGTGGGACAGGGGACTCGGGCCATGTGAGGAACACAAAGGAGGTTCTGATTTAAAAAGTCCAGGTGGCCAGACCACAGACCACCTGTAAGGTCATCAGTAACCAGACAGCACTCGCTCCTCAGAAAAACCAGCTGGGGAGGGGCAGACGCAACCAAGCAGGGAGACAGGATTTCAAGGCCATTTCTAGGTAACTACGGGTTCACTGAGTGGCAGTTAATCTCCAGACTGCTGCGCAAAAGGTGACTCCCGCTGCCCCTCGGGAGCGAGGCCTGCAGCCCTGCTGCTCACGGGTCAGGCCTCTGCAGGGCTCTGCAGCAGGTCCTCTCTGAGATGAAGTTGACTCGACACTGAACAACAACGAAAGCCTGAGCTCAGCGTGGCCGGGACAGTGGGGCGCGGGCTAGACTCTGTGTGAGGGTGGCCCCACAGAAGACGTATTATGTGGGGACTCCACAGAGATGTGTGAGGGGGGACCCACAGAGACGTGGGGGGCCCACAGAGATGCGGGGGGCCCACAGAGACGTGGGGGGGCTCCACAGAGACATGTGAGAGGGGCCACAGGAGACATGTGAGAGGGGGTGACCACAGAGACATGTGTGAGGGGCCACGGGAGACGTGTGTGTGGGGCCACAGGAGATATGTGTGAGGGGGGCCCCACAGAGACGTGTGTGAGGGGATGACCACAGAATCTGTGTGAGGGGCTCCAGAGATGACATGAGTGAGGAGAGATCCACAGAGACGTGTGTGAACGGGGCCCACAGGATCTGCATGTGAGGGGTTTCCACAGAACACATGTGCGGGGCTCACACAGCTCTGGCTGGGCCCACTAACCACTGTCCAGTGTCAGCCCCGACGTCCACTGCAGGCTTTGAGGACAGTTGTCAGGACACAGGGGCTGTGACGCGGCTGTACTCTCTGAGGAGTCTCAGTCCCTCCCGTCTTCTCTACTCTGAGAAGTTTTCCTGATCGTGACGTTTGTCCCCAGCCCAGGACGCTCACCACAGCCAGGCCCTGGCCCCACAAGCCTGGCCTGTCGTGGCGGTGAGCGGCCATGTTACCAGCCAGGAGCCCCAGAACCACCTACCAAGAGGCTTTCAAACTTCTTTGCTTCTGTGATGTGGATCCAGCTGTCCTTCTCCACCACCTTGATGTGTTTCACCTCATCGTTAAACCTGGCCACAGAGCACGCGGTCACTGTGCAAGCAGGAGGCTTCCCTGGGCGCCAGGCTGACCGCACCGTGGGGAGAGCCTCAGCCTCTGCCTTCACCGGGCTACCCCTGCACATCACTGTGCCCCAAAGCTCCTGGCTGCCCTTGTCTCGGCCAGTTTTCCTTGGGCAGCTGCCTGTCCACCTTGGCTGGTCATAGCTTCCTTCTCAAAGCCCCACACCTCTGTCGCTCAGCTCCTCACCCAGCCCTGCATCTGGGCATGCCCTGCCCACTCAGCTGTCCAGGCCAGCCTGCGCCCACCCACCAACCCTGACCCTCACAGTTCTGGTCTCCGGGGGAGGGCTGCCACCTACTTGATGCTGATGGCGAAACGCTCAGCCTCGGCGGGCCGCTCCCGTATCAGGTAGGTGCCGCTGGCGTGAGCTTTGAGCAAGTTGTCCGTCTGCTGCCTCTCCATGTTCCCAGCAAACCTGCACGAGGCGAGCGGGGAGCGGGGAGGACACCATGTGACCACGTCAGCCGTCCTGTAAGGGCCTTTGACCTCGCAGCAGGTCAGCGAGGAAGCAGACGCCAAGACCCTCAGGATGGATGGGCTCAGAGGTGGGTGGCGGCCCAGACACAGCCTGGAAGGCCCTGGGGTCTAGTGGTCCCTCAGGGGCCAGTGACCGGAGACGCCGGGAGTCTAGGCTCTCAGTACAATGTGTACACCCAGGTTTCTTTACTAAACTGTTTCCACCGTTTAAAACGCAGCCACAACACAACCAGGTCCTCTGCTGCTGTCGAATTGACCACGACTGCAGTGACCCTAGGACAGCTCTAAACCCTCTCCTGTGCCACCCTCACCACCATCGACACGCTCAAGGCACGGTCACTGTGCCAACCTCTCCTCTTGTGCTGACACCCACCTGTCCCAGCATCTCGTCCTTCTCTAAGGTCCCTCCTCACACAACACGCCCAAAGTACGTGAGGTGGACTTTCACCATCTTGTCTCCAAAGGGCTAACAGTTCTCAAGTTCAGTTGTCGGGGGAAAGGCCAGGGGTTCGAATCCACCCAGGGTGTTGTGCCCAGGCCCAAGCACGGGGAGGGGGGACTGCATGAGAAAGATTCTCACTCCTGAACACAGAGCCCTTGCCGTGAGTTAGAGGAAGTGAACAATCTGATGGGCTCCAGCCATTCAGAGCAGAGGGTGGGGCTAGGGGCTCAGCGCATGTCCCCTCCGCTGGCCCAGGGCCCTAGGACTGTCCCCCCGCTGTGGGGCCACGCCCTCCACACCCGTCTGAGCTCACTCACCAGGGGTAGGCTGTGTAGTCGATCTCCCGGGATGGTGGCCGGCTGACGGGTGGCTGGCGAGAAAGAACAGGCGTATTACTGTCCCCAAAGCCACCCGCAGAAGAGGGGCAGAGGGCCTGCCACTAGTCACAGATCCTCAGGTGAGCACGGGCGGCTTCTGTGGACTGAGCCCGGCTAGACTAGACGGCAAGGTCCTCAGGACAGCAGCTGCTTAGAATGTCCGAGGGAGTGAGGAGGAGGACACCCCAGTGCTTCCACAGCCTGGAAATGCGCATACGCCAGCCTGCGGCCTCAAGGCAGCTTCCTGCCTGTGACAGCTCCCTCCTGGGGGGACCTCAAGGTGGCCAACACCCTGTCCAGTCACAGCACTCCACTCAGCATCTCGCTGTCCACCTCCTGGTCCCTGCTCACCATGCAGAAGGGGAAACTGAGGCCGAGGGTGGGGAAGGGTCTGCCCCAGGTTCCTTGAGTTGCTGCCCATTCTCTGCAGTGTGGTCCTCTTGATGTGTCTCTGTCACATGGACAGACGGACCATAAGGAAGCCGCAAGGCAGACCAGAAGGGCAGCGCAGGGCATCCCTCAGTGTTGGAGACCCTCAGCTTGAATCACTGGGCATGGGGAGACTTCACATTCTCATGTTGACTTGCCTTTTTCTATTTTGGGGTGGGTGTATCGGGAGGGTGGTGTGTCCCACTTCTTGCCTGTTCTAAGGCCTACTGTCTGTCCTCTTAAGTCTAAGACTATATAGTTTTATCCACACCAGGGACGGGAAAAAATCCTGCTGTCTTCCCCCCCCTCAGGACGGCTGCCAGAGTCCCAGCTCTGCCTCTCCTACACCAAAACCCAAACCAAGGGGCCCCTTCGGCACGATGGTTAAAGCATTTGCTGGCTCACGCCCACCAGGGGCTCCACAGTGAAAGACGGGCATCTGCTTCTGTAAAGGTCATAGCGTAGGGGGCCCGGGGGCAGCCCTCCTACTCTGCAGGGTCCGCGAGTCACACTGGACTGTGACAGGGGGCTTCAAGTCTCAAGCAACAGCCAGTCCATCGTCCAGGACTCAGGGAGGAGCATCCCCCAGTAGCCCCCCCGAGGGGACCGCATCCCCGTCCACAATCACAGAGGCTGTCCACCAGGGAATGGGCAGGGGTAGCCCAGCACGCCCACCTCCTGGCTGCTCCGCTCTGGAAGCTTCTGTGGAGGAGAACTTACCCTTCCGTCCACGGGACAGGGCTTCACAGACGAGCTCGGGAAGTAGCCTGACTTCTTGGTCTGTAGCAGCCGGCCCTGAAAAGGAGGGAGATGGCCAGTGCACGCTGGGCTCGGACTGAGCTCAGCTTGTCTGCTCTGGTCCCCTGCTGTGGTCTCAGGTGACCTTATGACCCTCTGGGACAGATGAAGGGCATGCCCACTCTGCAGAGGAGAAGACAGGCCTAGAGGTTCTGCCGCTCGCTGAGAGGTGGAGCTGCAGCTCTACGCTGCCTTCTGTCCGGTCGTCTCCCCCACCTGCACCCCTGCTGGTCAGGACTGTGTGGAGGACAACAATTTGGGGCCTGGGACAGGCAGGCAAGAGTGGCCTTCACTTCTGTCCCCTTTGCCTGGACGACCCTCCAGCGTCCCCCTAGAGGCCTTCCTCGCCTCCATTTTACCAAGAGCCCTGGTCAAGCCGGGGAGGGAGGGAGGACACTGGGTGGGGGCCCTGAGCAGCCAGTCACCCTACAGGACAGAGACACCCAGCCCACAGAGCCAGCCCACAGAGGGACTGTCATGCTGCCCATGAGAGCAGGCTGGCTCCTGCACACTGCGACTGCCCGGCTGGGCTGGGGTACCCAGAGCCTGAGTGGACCTGAGGGTCTCTGGCCCCTGGGGCACAGCAGAGGGGCTGGGGGTCAGGGAGGAAAGGAGGCATGGGAAGGTCTGACGCTCTCAAAGGACCACAAAGAGACCCAGAACTGGAAGCCATGTCCCCCTGATGTATGTGGCCACGTCAGAACCCCCACTGGACAGGTCCTAGGAGAAGGCAGTAGGGTCAGTGCTGACAGTGGCTGGGGCCCAGGGAGGGCTCTCAGCCGCCTGAGGCAGGAAGCTGGAGTGGGAGGGGGTATGGTCTCTCCTGTGCAAGGGCCCATGAAAGTGGAAGGGATGATGTACCCCTAATGTCACCAAAGCCTGTACCTCCAGAAGACTGGCTCCACGGGCTCCCTAGCAGTCGGGAGCACACAGGGTTGGGTGACCTGCTGACCTGTCCCCTCCCTCTCGCTCCTGGGGGGTGAGGACCCACCTCCCACCACTGTGACTCAGGGTCACCACGAAGCAGCTCCACCACATCACCCGTCTGGAAGGTGAGTGCCGGCTTCCCAGGGGGCGCAGGGTTACCGTGGTAATTCTGCACGGCCACCATCCTGGGACCTGCAGAGATTGCGGGGGGAGGGAGCACTTGATGAACAATGCCGCCAAGCCAGCCAGCAGCCTACTCGTCACTGACCTCCACCCAGCCCTGTGCCCGCAGGGATCCTGTTTCCTGTTAAACAGCCTGAGTGCTCACTGACCACTTTTATTAAACAGAAGCCTGTGTGTTTTTGTCCAAACACCTTTTCCATTGGTTGTGTGCAGTCGGGATGGGGGCTCCTGTCTCAGAGAAGCCAGTGGCAGCTGGGGCTAGACAGGGTTCGAGCAGGTTTCTAGAAGGGCCCAGAGATGTGCCAGGGTCCCTTCAAGCAGTCCCGGGCCCCTGCTCTGCTCAGATGTGTGGCCCCTGCACAAGCGGTCCCCCTTGCCAAATCTGTTCTCAAACAAGGAGCCCCGGTGGGGAGGGAGAAAGGCAGGCTTCTCCCATCGGTGCCCACTCCCCAGGGACTGGACCAGGGAGGGGAGAGGCCAGGCCCTAGACTCACCTGGCCCTGCTCCGGAAGCATCCTGTGAAGGACAGAGGGTGGTGAGGGGTGGCTCCCACCCAGCTGACTCCTCCCTCCCTCCCCTCAGGTGGGAGAGCAGAGGAAACAGGTAAGAGGTTGACGGGGCACGTCATGACCCCACAGGTGTTTGGTGACCATGTCTTCCACCTCTGTGCCCTCCCCTGACCCTCCCCTCCTCTCTCCCACCCTCTCCAGGGAGTCTATCCTGACCATTGGCCCATGGACAGCACCCCTGCCAAGCCTGGGCTCCCCCTGCCACCTGGAACGTGGTGTGTCATGCCTCCCTCCCCCTCGAGGGAGTCTGCATCCCCCCAGATCCCTGTGAGATCCCAGATGGTGGTCAGCATGACCAGACCCCACAACTCAGTAAGACACAAAGCTCAAGCCCCACAGACAAATTCCAGAAGTTTGTCCACAGAGGTGCTCGCCCACGCCAGGCAACGGGGGGCAAGGACAAGTGACAGAGCGAGGCACTCAAAGTCACTTCTACTGGACAGTCCAGTGGGTGGGCAGGTCCCTTCTATCATGGTCACTCGGGGCATAAAGGGACCACAGCCGAGCCTGGACCACGGGGAGGAAAAGCCTTAGATCGACAGTGGGGTCGGGGGTGTGGCCCTGGCTCTGGGGCCACCAGGGCGCAGGGAGGGCGGGGTTGGGGGGCAGCCTTACCAGGTCAGCAGGAAAACCTGAAAAGGAAGCAGAGGGAGCATCAGATGGGGCCACAGAGACCCCGGGGTTGGCCCAACCCAGGACCGGTGTCCCCACTGCCAAGGCGTCCCACGGGCAGCTCAGACAGGGCTGCAGGTGCATGGACTGTGGCCATGTGACGACCAGGTGCTGAGCCTGGTGCTGGGGCCGCAGCTGAATGGAGGCCTAGTGTTGGCCCCCAGGTGGTGAGCAGGGCTGCCTCAAGCTGGAGGCTGCACCGGACTGGACTCCTGGGGCAGGCGGCCACGGGTGACCAGCCATGCCTGCAGCGGCAAGCTAGCGTGGTCGTCGCACTGCCTGTTCTCCCGGTTCCCCGCCACCACCCTGGGCTCCCCAGTGGGAGGACGCTGCCCCAGGCTGAGACCTGGTCACCAGCCAAGCAAGGCTGCCTCCCCGCCCTGAGACATGAGAGGACACAATGAGCTTCTCCTGTTGGTCAAACAGGGAAATGGCCCTGGGGTCGGCGTGGACACAGCCTGAGGGGCAGCTCAAACTGGACAGCAAGTATGAGTTTCAGGTCAGAGAACGCAGCTTGGCATGGAACCGATAGGCCAGTGGGAGGGCCCAGCAGAGGGACAGCTGGGGGATGCACGCTTGGGGGAGGCCAGAGTCTCCTTAAGATCCTGGTCACTAGAGTTTCCATAAAAGTTCAAACAATCCATTCCGGGTCCATTCTGCCCTACGGTTCTCAAGGTCATAATGGGCAGTGGCTCCAACCCACCAGCTGCCCCTCAGGAGAACGGGCCCCACAGTACAGCCCGCAGCTCTGCTCCGCGTGGCAGGGTAACCATGGGCTGGAGTCTGCTTGATGGCAGCGGAGGTTCTGTTTAGTCTTAAATTTTTGTGTTTTTCTCTTTAAAAAAACCACAGAAGTGCTTATCTGCTAACCAAAAGATCAGCAGTTCAAAGCCACAGGCTGCCCCTTAGGAGAACAACAGGGGCCACGTGCCTCACAAGGACACTGGGGCCATGCACCCTGTAAAGGAGAGAGACGGGGCCGTGCGCCCCGTGAAGGCTCTGTCCTACGGTGCGGCTGTGAGTCAGAACTCACTCGGGCAGAGGCTTGCTTAGGCTACTCTATACATGCTCCATTCTCCGAGAGGAAGCGGGTTACTTCATAACTTGTCTGCCATCAGTTCAGAATGGACCCCTAGCTGACCCTGCAGTGGATTTTCAGATGCAGTAAACTGCACCGCAGGAGACTGTGCATCCTTCTGGTGGATTCGAACTGTGTGTCTTTGGGATTGCAGTGCAGGTTCTTACCATCAGGCCACAAAGCTCACTAGAACTAGAAAGAAAAGAGTTATTTTTAAAATACCCCATGTGTAAAGAAATATTGCAACATAAGGTGGCTGGCAGTTTCTGGGCACTTTGTGGGTGAGAAATGCCTTCTGTTTGTTGGGTTTATTTGCTCGAACACGCTGCTTTTAGGCTCTGAATGGCACAAGTGTGGGCCAAAGTCCCCAGATCTCTGCAATCTAGACTTCTGGGTCCTGGAGTTTGGGGACCCCAGGCCATGGTCCTCATGCAGTGTGGTGATCCCCAGGCCACGGTCCTGAGGTAATCTTCTGAACCCTCGGCCACCTCCAAGTCAACCAGCAGTCTCGCTGGTTAAAGAAGACCTGGGCACTGAGCCCTCTGGACATGTTTGGCTGGTAACCAGAAGGTGGGTGGTTCAAACCCACCTGCAGCTCTTATTAGGAGTCACAGCCTTGGAAACTCCACGGAGTTTTGCCAGTGCCTCCAAATCGACTCCAAGACGTTGAGTCAACTGATTTCTTTCTTTTTTTAAACAAGCCTACGTCTCCAGGTGGCACAGACCACCACTTACTGAAAGGCTGCAAGTTCAAGTCCACTCAGAGATGTCGCAGAACAAAGCCCTGGCCACCTGCTTAATAAAGAACACACACACCCCACCCCCAGCAAAGAGTGCAGCCACTGAAACCCTTGGACTGCTGTTCTTCTGCCGAGAGGGAGGTCACCATGAGTGCCAGGGACTCCAGTCCATGCTCACGGGCTGCGCCGGAAGCGCCGTGAGGGTCGGCGGCCACTCGGCCAGCACTGTGCCTCTCCCCGCAGCGTCCGCTGGTCCCCGCAGCGTCTGCTGGGTCTCTGCATCCCTCGTTTCTGAGCTCCGGCTCTCCTCGCCGGTGTGACCAGAGGCCAGCTCGCGTGCAATAGCGGTGAACTCAAGTCACTCTCCCTTCCTGCTGGCAGCCAGCCCGCTGTGAGGCGGGTTTCATTCCTTTCTCTTTTCTTTCCAGGAGTCCTCCACGCCTTTGCCCTCTCCTTTCACTCTTCCATGTGGCCTACTCCACAAGCTATGCCTCTATCTTACTGTCTTCATAAACCTCCTTTCACTTCAATCAACCCCTGTCGTCAGGCAAATGCGGCTCTTGCTGGCTCCTGGTCACACACTTCAGTATCAGTAGAGTGTCCAGTTGTCCAGGGACCCCAGAGCCACCTCTGCAGCCGGGCCTGGTGACCTGCTTTCCAAAGGTCACAGCCTTGAAGCCCCTTGTGGGGCGTCTGCTCTACACAGTGGGGTCCCGGGCAACACCCACGGACGAGGGGTGTGGTCAGAGGGCAGCGTTGACAGAGGAAGCAGGGCCGCTGTGTGTTCTCGGACACGTGCAGGCCGGCAGACAGACAGACGCGCAGGACACTGCCCCAGGGCTGCAGGATGGGGGGCTGGTCCTCAGCCTCACAACAAATGAAAACTTCTGACCCGATCTTGGCTGTGGACACAGTGACCTGGGCAGATGCCCACCAGACAGAGCTCACACCTGGGGACGGGTGAGGCACCGAGACTGCCAGCCTGACACCAGTGCTGCCATATTAAGCCTTGCTAAGCTCCCGCCTAAAAATTCCGAATATTGTTTTCTCTGAACTGTGCTTGTTTTGGCTCCTGTAAAACCGCTTGCGTGCTGATAAGCAGGTGTGGCAGGTTAGCTCAAAGAACTGCCGTGACTGAAAGCACGCTGATAAGCAGGTGTGGCAGGTAAGGCCGCAGCTGCCACCGCTGATAGCGATGCTTTGAAATCCTCTCAAGGTTTCTCATCTGTAGGAGAACGGGGGTCTCAGTACTGGATGCGACACCAGGCAGGCGTCTCTCTGAACAAAGCTCAAGATGTTCGCATCCAGACACGCAGCTTTGTCGGCCCCTGGCCTCCGGGTGGGGAGCTGTCAGGAGCACACCCACCGCCCCACAGCGAGCTGGAATCCTAACTCTGTGCCTGACGCGAGCTCTGGTGGCACAGTGGCTACAGCGCTCCCACCAGACACAGATTGACAGCCTCAGAAATCCTACCGGGCATTTCCACGCTGCCCTTGGGGCCTGGCAGTCAGGATCTCCTTTGATTCCGTTTTCATACCTGGGGGTTTATTATTATTATTATTTGGGAATGAGGTTTTCCTTGTCATGATAACGAGGTCACATCAGTTCAAGGAGAGTTCTAAACCCCCTCCTGGCGGAGGGACTGAGCAGATTCGAGAGGGAGCAGCCTCGTGCACGTGCACGATGGAGACAGAGGTCTCACGGGACCACTGGGGCCTGAAGGACTGAGAACTGCGAGGACAGAGGGACGTCAGGGCTGCAGAAGCTGAGACCGGACAGTCCCCAGAGCTGACAGGGGAGCCGCGCCCAGACCCGGCGTCCTGAATCTGCCCTCCTGACAGCGAACACAGAGGACTGACGCCTTTGGACCGGGGTGCTGACAGGGCAGTTCCAGGCTGACAGCACAAGTCTGCACTGGAAGGAGAGAAGCCTTCGAGGCGAGGCGGGTTAGGGTTAGGGTTAGGGTTAGGGTTAGGGTTAGGCGGGTGAGGCTTCATTTCAGGGATGCTGGACGCAGGAGCAGGAGGGGCTGGTTCTGGGAAAGGATTTCATCTTCTGTGAAGCAGAGAAGCGGTGAAAAACACCCTCAGTGCTACAGACTGATCAGAGGCTGGGACAGAGGCCCTGACACCGCACTGGCTGTGGGGCTGCTGCCCAGCACTCAACAACATAACCAACACTGACCAAGACGGACTGATAGACGCAGTGGCCATAACAAGGGCTCAAGCACAGGAAGGGCCACGAGGACCAGCAGGGCTCTGTTCCGACGCGCATGCGGTCACTACGACGTGGACCTGACGTGACAGCACTGAGGAAGCCTCTTGGAAGGTGAGAAAATGTGTCTGTACAAGCACGCCCACCCGTCACTGCAGCACTTGGAAGGTGAGACAAGGGCAGTGGGGACAGCACCACTGCCTGAAGCCACTGAGGAGGCCAAACACTGTGGCAGCCACTGGCCCATGTCCGTGCTGCATGACTCTGTCCCTGTGGCGGTGAGCTGATGTCCAGCTAGCTGGCCTGGCTGTAAAAACTGCCCCCAAGAGAGCTGCAGATCCCCAGCCACCCCACCGTTCCCGCCCAGGACCCCCCAGCCACCCCACCCTCATCGCCTTCTCAAGGTGCTCACAGGCCGCACTGGGCCCAAGGCTGTATGTGACCCAAGTCTTTCTGTGAGCACCATACAGGTGTAGGGGGTACCACAGGCCCCCTCACAGCCTGGGGCAGAGGGGGTACGGAGCCCTGAGCACCAGCCTAGGGTCCTGTGAGAACAGTAGAGTGGGTGAGGCGCTCAGCCCAGGACTTCTAAACTCCTCAGAGCACTGAGGTTGCGGAAGTCAGAATGACCCTCATCCTGTCCTGCCTGCCCTCGCAGCCCTCAGAGTGGAGTGGTCAGTCTCCTAGGCCAGGGCCATCCTGTGTGCCACCACAGCCCTCCCTGGAGGTGGTCAGTCACACCCCTCACCCGACGCGGTACTCACTGATCTTGCAGGGGGGCATCACCTCCAGACACTCCTTATGCGCCCCGACGCCACACTTGGTGCACAGGTAGCCCTGATAGAAGGTGCCCCTGTGTGGGAAACAGGGCGGAAGTGGGATCAGGCGGGCCTGAGCCTGGAGGTCAGGGCCCCGAGGCCTCCTGCTGTGGGCGGCCACCTTGCTCTCTGGCCCGTCCCTCAGTGCCCAAGGCCCTCGAGGCCCCTGCACATGCTGCAGCCCACCTTCCATCCAATCCCTTCTAATGCAATCAGAGGCCACACATACTGTTGACTGTGACCTGTCCCTGGTTGGGTCACGGGAGTGGTGGGTGACAATGTGGACACAGGACACGGAAATGGACAAGGACACAGATGTGGACACTGGACATGGAAGTGGACAGATGATACGGATGTGGACCAGGACACGGATGTAGACACATGACACGGAGGTGGACACATGACACGGATGTGGACACAGGACACGGAAGTGGACAGATGATACGGATGTAGATACTGGACACGGAAGTTGACAAGGACACGGATGTGGACAGAGGACACGGATATGGACAGAGGACAGGAATGTGGACACAGGACATGGATGTGGACACAGCACACAGATGTGGACAGAGGTCACAGATGTGAAACAGGACACAGTGTGGACACTGTAGCCTCAGTGGGGGCAGGGTGGCCACGGGGACACTCACCGGAGGAACATCCTGCAGGCTTTGCAGCTCGTGGTCTTGTCAAACGTGTACATCTGGAAGCTGTGGTGGTTGGCGTGAGCTTTGTCCGGCTTAATGTTGGACCTGAAGGACGGATGCAGAGTGGAGTCATGTCAGCTGAGAGCTCTCAATCACCAGCTCCCCTGATCCCGCCTGCAGCCAGAACACCCGGAATTGGCAGAAGCCTGGACAGGGGTGGCCTGGACTCAAAGCCAGCTGTGCCCTGTGATCCTGGGCACTCCAGGGCCACGTTCACGTGAGGAGAATGAGAGCGTGAGCACAGGGGTTTGCACTGGTATGAGAGAACATTCTAGAGCGTTGGCAGTATAAGCTGGGTATGGCCGGTGTCAGCATTTGTCAAAACCCAGCCAGTGTACACGCTAACACGTCCATGTTTCCCGTGTAACTCAAACAACACACACGTAACACGTTCACACCCCACACGTGCCCTCCACACGTCCCTGGGCCGGTGAACACACAACCTGCCCACACGTCATCGTACGTAAGCTCGCCAGGGATGACTCCGGCTTCTCTAACTGCAGCTTGCACCACGCAGGGATGTGAACCACTACTCAGTCCTCGCTGAAGTCCAGGCTGACCTCAGGGACGCTGCAGGCTCCATTCCCATCAATTCAAAAAAGTGGACACTGCCATAAAGCGGTCCCTTGAGGACCTTGATTTCCCAGTACAAAAAGTTAGGTCCACGCTCCCTCGGGGTCTACGGAGCGTGTGAGAGCGTGATGACAGAATCTGTGACAATAACGGACACAGGACACAGACACGAACCGAGCTCGTGCTGTCAGGAACACGGCAGCGGCAGCCACAAAGCTTCAGTTTGGGAAAAACACGGCATCTTCAAAGGGCAATAAGCGAGGCTGGCCTGAGCCTAGCATGAGGGGACTGAGGCTCTGTGGGTGACACGTCATAGAACAAGGAGCAGACGTGATGCGGGGACATCTGAGGTGAGCATTCGGGTACTGACCACACAATTCTTTCCATTCTGCCAAAGGCTTGGAATTTTCCAGAATAAAGTGCAGAGGGGTTTCTGTCCATGGCAGACACGGACGCCCTCGGCTCCCACGAACAGCCCTGGTGCCCCGGGCCCCGTGCACTCTGATGTGATCCCAGCACACCAGCTCTCAGCTGCTGGTCTGGGCAGAGTGGGCTGGGTTAACCAAACAGCTGGGTCAGGACAGGCCACAGCAGAGAACCCGGCCCTGGGCAGGAAGGTCAGCAGCTGAGGTGGCAGGGGGACAGGGCTTGGCATGTCCCCACGCTCCGGCCCCCAATACACACACTGTGACTGTTCCTGGGCAGGTCCACGATCCAGGGGTCAGTGTGGATGCTGCTGTACACCGCACCCCCGAACCCCGGGCTCTGGGGGCCACCACTCACATGGCCATCTCGAACTGCTCCATCCACTTCCTCTTCATGTCCTCCGTCTTGCAGAAGAACTGGAAGCCCTGCTTTCCTTGAAGGTGGATGAGATAGAAGCCGTAGGACCACTGCGGGAGAGGAGACACGCTTGTTGTGCATGTGTTGTCTGCGTGTGGGCGTGCTCCCAGGTGTCTGTATGTGCCCTCACGTGTGGACGAGCTCCCAGGTGTCTGTGTGTGTCCTCACGTGTGGGCGAGCTCCCAGGTGTGTGTGTGTGTCCTCACATGTGGGTGAGCTCCCAGGTGTGTGTGTGTGTCCTCACATGTGGGTGAGCTCCCAGGTGTGTGTGTGTGTCCTCACATGTGGGTGAGCTCCCAGGTGTCTGTGTGTCCTCACGTGTGGGTGTGCTCACATGTGGGCGTGATCCCAGGTGTGACATGTACTCTCAGGTATGTATGTTACCATCTATGTGCACATGCATGCATGTGCATGTGGTCCTGGTGTGTGCACATACGTGGGACAGTACATCCGTGTTCAAACGCTCACATGAGCATATGCCTACATGTACACGTGTGTTCTTATATGCACTCATCTGTTCTCATGTGTGTGCATGTGTATACATTTGTGCCTGTGTGCACACGTTTGAAGGCACTGATGTGTGCTTCCACACACAGGCCCGTTTACATGTGTGTACATGGACATGTGTGTATTTGTGACCAAGCACATATGTTCTGTGCTTATCTGTATATATACACTTATGCCTGTACGCACGCATGATTTGTGTATGCAGCCAGAGATGTGTGCCTAGAGGTGTACACGCGTCCCTGGGTGCGTATGTGCGCACCTGTACACATGCTTGGTTTGTGTATGTAGCCAGAGATGTGTGCCTGGAGGGGTACACACTCACATGTGCACATATGCTCGTGTGCATGCATCCTTGTGTTCACGTGCACATGCCTGTACCTGGGTGTCTATCCATGCACACATTCATGCCTGCTGTACACGTTCTCGCATGTGTGTGTGCAGACGTGGCTGTGCATGTGTGTGCACTCACGTAACTCTGTGCATACGGCGTGCCCATGTCTGTACACTGCTCTTCTCTGTGCCCACCTGCATGTGTGTGCAGGTGCATGTGAGCACATGTGCCTGTGTGTGTGCACACCTTTTACAAGGGAGCTCTATTGGCCTAACAGTAAGGAACCGCGCTGCCAACCTGAAGGCATGCAGTTCAAATCCACTGGCTTCTCCACAGGAAAAAGATGGGCAATCTCCTCCCGTGCAGTTTACAGCCTCTGAAAACCTGCTGAGGGGCCAGCTCTGGGCGGGTCAACGGTACTTAAAACAATAACCACCCCTTTGACAAGGAACGCTGAGGCCTCTCCATTGTGGATCTGGGGTGGGAGAGCCTCCCCAACTGCTTCCACCTCCTAAATCTAGAAAAAAATCACTCCCCCAAAATGAAGCATCAGAAGAGGATGGGAGCAGAGGACAGCCACAGGCAGGGGCTCGGGGGCTCGGCCACACCGGCCACTAGCAGGGTTTTTTAACAGGTGCAGGGGGGAAAGCTGGGAAAGTACGAGAAAACTTGTGTCAGAAAAGCTGGAGGGAGACAGAGCGCGGGAGGAGGGGAAGGAGGAAGGAAGAATGTGGGGAAGGGAGGGGAATTCTTCCGAAAACTCTGTGGAGTCCTCCTGACCCTTCACCCAGGAGCGTCCCCGGGGCCAAGGCGCAGGCTGGGCTTTGCTTTCAGAAGGAGCCAGCCCTCTGTAATGGCCAGCCCTGCTCTGCAGACCCAAAGGTGGCGTCTGTCCGGTGTTTAATCCACCAGCAGCGCCTTTAGAGAAGAATGACAATTCTCCTCCACTGCCCACGGAGGGTCAGCTACAAGGCAGTCCTGATGCCACGGCATGACCGAGCTATCATCACAAACACACATCGCTCTTGTGGTGAAGAAAGACAGGTGATGGTTCAAATCCACCAGATGCTCTGCTGGAGAAGGAGGGGAAATCTCCTCCTGTACCAGTCAGATCTGATTTGACGGTACACGTAAAAATAATACAATTAAAAAAAAATTTAAAAAAAAAAAAAGACAGGTGAATGACCCAGGCAGGCTGGGGCCTTGTCCATTTTGGTTCCATCCCTGGGAACACAGCCCTCCACCCCAAGGATCCTGGCTGGACACTTGGGGCTCTGGCCACACACCCGGCTCAGGTGAAGCCTCAGGCCCCACACCAAGGAGGCAGGTGCCAGGTTCTTACCATTTTCCCGTGAGACTAGAAGCATGAGAGGAAGGAGAGAGAAAAGAGTCATTCAGAGGGTTGGCCTGGCCTGAGTGGGCACATGCCAAGCCCAGCAGCTGCACGGGTCCTTAACCCTCTCACTACCACACGGCCCAGGCTGGGGCTGCCCAGGGGCCAGGTATTGCTGGGGTAGGTGCTGGAGGCTGGGACTCACAGGCCAGAGCCCAGTCCATGCGCTCAGCACTTCCACATCCTCCCTGGCAGGATGGCTAGACCCATCCATCTTAGTCCCACCTCCAGCAATGTATCTCCAACCCTGGAACATGGTCCTGAGTCCCCAGCAATATAGCATCTCCATCAACTACAGCCCTGTTCATAGGAGTACAACTCCACTCTCATTATCATAGTCCCACCCCCTGTTCCATATTAATGTGTCTATTCATCGTGGCCCCACCCACAGCCACATAGCTCCACCCCCACAACATGGAACAGAGTTCCAGCACTATGGCCCCATCTATCTTAGTCCTGTCTACACTGGGGGACCCCACCCCAGCTGGACATCAGAGTCTCTGCTGAGCAGGCCACAGCCATGCCCATTAGGTCAGCTGGGGGCAGGAACAGCAAGGTTGGTGTCCACCAGGTCCCTGTCCACAACCCACATCAGCCCTGACCCTCACTACCAGCCTGGGCGCTGGGGTCCTACGTGCACCTCGGGGAGGAACTCGGAACCACAGCCACCCTCCATGACAGAGGAGAGGCTGGGACCCCAGAGCATGCCGCCCTCACCCACCCTGTGTCACGACGGGGGTCTGGGATGGTGCACTGGCCCTGCAAGGGGCGGCCCACCTTCTTGATGTCCTTGTTGTTCATGGGGTCGTCGGTCATCTTGTGGAAGAGAAGCTCGATGATCTCCTTCAGCTCGTAGCTGTAGCCCTTCCGCTTGCAGACGATGACCACCTTGTCAAACAGGAACAGGTACCTGGCCGCCCAGGGGAATGGGCAGTCAGCGGGCAGTGCTTCTGGGCACGGGCCACCTCTGCCTGGGAGCTGAGCTCACAGACACACACCCCACCTCCGAGACCTGGTGCCACCTGAGTCAGGAGCAGGACCCAACCTACAAGCACATCCTGAAGCCTGGGGCTGCCTCCCCAAACCTCGCCACCACCACCCCGAACCCTAGCTTCCTCCCCCGTCACCACCACCACCCCGAACCCTAGCTTCCTCCCCCGTCACCACCACCACCCCGAACCCTAGCTTCCTCCCCCGTCACCACCACCACCACCCCAAGCCCCATCAGTGCTCTGAACCCCAATTACTCCTCCCTCACTCATCACCACCCCAAATCCAGACTTACTCTTCTCGCACCCACCACCACCACCCTGAACCCCACCAGCACCCTGAGCCCCAGGCCTGCCCTCCTTGTAGCCACCCCAGAGCCCACCATCCACTCTGGGGGTGTCCAGACCCTGGGCCTTTGGTTGTCCCCAAACTAGCCTGGAGCTCACTGGGGGCTCCAGACATGAGGACACCTCACTGCTGCTCTCCAGAGAAAGGAAGCAATGAAGACAGACAGAGCTCACCAGCCGAGGCACTGTTACCCCAGAGGGAGGGCTTCTAGGCTCGGGCAGAGCGGGGCAGAGCGGGGGCAGAGCGGGACAGAGCGGGACTGAGCAGGACTGAGCCAGGCAGAGCGGGCCAGAGCCGGGGCAGAGCCGGCCACATCCTGGCCAGCGGCCTCACCTGTCCTGCTTGGTGTGGTTGACGATGGACCGCACCTTGAGCTCCCCATCGATCTTCGGCCTCCCAAACTCCTCCAGCTTCACTTGCTGGGAGACAGAGATAAGTCAGGCCCTGCAGCCCCGGACGCTGGGCACCACATCAGGAGGGCAGATGGACAGGCACCCACCCACGTGATCCCCCAGAGACCAAAGGCAGTGGTTTCCAGCCAGTTCTCCAGACACAGGGGCGCAGAAGAAAGAGCAAAGAACAGGGCCCGGGGCTCCTGTCCTCACCCAGGCCTAGCCGGAGCCCCAGAGTCCTTCAACATCCAGGACAAAAAGCGATTGATGGGGTCAGGGTGACAGGCCCCACTGTGTGACGTCAGCAGGGCCTCAGGAAAAGCTGGACGCTGCCAAGGGGCTAGTGAGGGAACAAACAGCGCTTATCAGACACGCCGTCTGCAGGAAGGGGCTCGGCAGCTCCCGAGGCTGCTGGCCCTTCCGCCGTGAAGCTTTGATCCTCGGACAGCTTCGCTGGGCAGGTCCTGCATGTGGCTTTCAAGGAACTGAAGGGGCAGTGAAAAAAGCAAGATGTCCTCAGGGCTGTGCCTGGGAGGTGCTGAGAGGGCTGGCTTCAGCGTGATCACTTCTGAACCTTCCAGAAACTTTGAGTGTATCAGCCAAGCAAGATGCTCTGGTACCCACACAGCACAGGCCTCTGCGTCTCACCTCCATCAATACGGACTTCTTGAACTGGGGACCTGCTGACGGCTGCCGCGAGTCACTGCTGAGTTATGGACGAGCTGCGAGCACCTGACCCCAACATGGCACCTTCATTGGCCTCTGAGAGGTGCTGGACATGATAAGACATGGCACTGGGGGGTGTGGGGGTGTGTGGGGTGTATGTGTGGTGCTGGACATGGGTAAGACATGGCACTGGGGTGTGTGTGTATGTGTGTGTGCCTTGTACTTGAAACTCAGGAAAGAAACCACTGCATCCCAAAACAGCTCAATATTCAGGTCGGAAAACGAGGGGCTTTTACCTGCCCCCTCACTCTGAAGCCCATTCCTCTCCTTCAGCGTCCCACAGACGAGCACATATTCCACGTGGATAGTTAATACAGAGGCCGGTGCGGCCCCGCTGACATCACCAGACAGTCGCCTATTAGACTGGACTCGTGACGCTGGCCTCCAGGTTCGTTCCCACGGATCCTTGTTTGGGAGAGCAGTGGTCGGCACAACCTCTCAAGTCATGCCCACGCCGTGCCACCGAAGCTGGGCCCAGGACAACTCTGGGGGGCAGGCAGGGCGACAAGCGCCAATCAGGGCCTCGGTTTTCCAGCAAACCAAAGGAAGGCTTTGCAAACCTCTAGTTAGTGTTGGCAGAAATAACAGCTCCAAAGAGTCTTCTCTTGGTGGAAAATGACGGCTTGTACCTTGGCTTTTCCTGTCCTTCACGTCCACTTTGTTGTCACACACACAGCAGGGATGTTTCCACTTACTCGAGCCGCACCCCTAGGCCAGTGGGGCACATTCCTATAACCCCTGATGCTGGTCCCCTGGCCTGGATACAGCAGCCCACTCGCAGGGTCCCCAAACTTCTCCTGGCCGGTTGTGTCCCACACACTGGACTTCATCGGTCCTCTGCTGGTGTGGAGCACGCGGGGATGGACCTCCGTATCCGTGGCGACATACTCCTCACTCACCAGTCAGATGCCGATTCGTGAATGTCCTTTTCCCAGGGCTGCTCTCGCTACCACCCCAAGTTTGAAGTGGACTTGGGGTTCTCCTCAAGCGGCCAGCGTTATCAGTCTTCCAGAAGGGTCTCAGAGCACGGATGCCTCTGATGATGGTGGAGCCGAGTGCTGCGTATTCCGCAGTCCGCCGGGAACACACAGGCTCCCGGAGGCAGGGCTGCCAGCGTGTCCTTCAGCAGCGGGGACACAGTGTGTCTCACACACCATGTGTGCTGGGAGGAGGGGGAAGGACGCCAGCTTGAAGGATCAGGCAGAACAAGGATGATTCTCGACGGGACGGACTGACAGACAGACTGCAAGGTTGGCGCGGGGCAGGGAGTGTCTCAGTCTCTAGACAGGGCACTTGACAGCACCTGACATCACTCCTTCATAAAGCCTCAAAAAGCATACTTCACTCAGACCCAGCGAGTTGACAGCGGCCCATTGTGGGCACCTAGAATCTCTGATGACAGCTGGGGGCCCGCGGAGGCATATTGACGTCCGTGGACACAGGTGGCCCACCTCCCTCTCCACGCTGACATTGGTGCTCGCTGCCATGGAGCTGACCTGGCTCACATTACGGGCTCAGACCTGGGCTGGGAAACTGATCGCAGGCCTTTCCTCCTGACCATCGCTGGAAGCTCTGCTGAACCACAGGCCTCCGCGGGAGGCAGCCGCACATCGGCAGGAAGTCGGACCCGAGTCTCTCACTGCGTCTCAGACACTTTCACTCCTTTCACAGGGTAAGCGGTGGTCACCCCAAAACGGGCACACAGTACTGCGGGTTCACCTCCAGTCCTCCCTCCACAGGAAGCGGGCAACGTTGTCAGATGTCATTGATCCCACTCCTGCTGCCAGCCACCCTGTGGACAGCAGGCCTAGGCCGCCCCCAGCCGCATGAACCCCACCCTGTGACCAGCAGGCCTGAGCCGCCCCAGCCCACACCACCCCCACCCTGTGCCCAGGCCTGAGCTGCTCCCAGCCCGCACGAACCCCACCCTGTGCCCAGGCCTGAGCCGCCCCAGCCCGCACCATCATCGCCGCCCCCTCCGCGTATGAGCCCGCTGTTACAGTCAGTGTGTCAGTCCATCTTGTCCGGGGTCTTCCTCTTTCTCTGACCCTCCATCTTTCCAAGCTTCCTGTCTTTGTCCAAGGACTGGCCCTTCCTGAAATGCCCAGAGCACACACCATCCTCATCTACTGGTCCAGAAGGAAAGATTTCTGTCTCCTTGACATTAGGATGTAATCCGTATTGAGGACTGCAGTCTTTAACCTTCTGCACCAAGTGTTGTGTCACCCGCATAAGGCAAGACGTTGACGAGTCTTCCTCCAATCCTGATACCAAGCACGTTCTCAGTTCCCAGAGCACTGAAAAGTGACGTGGGCACTCATCTGCCAAGTGTGCAATGGCATGTGGACAGCGTGACACACTGTGAGAAGGACCAAAAGGGGGCACGGAGCCAGGAGTGAGCTCAGGCTGCCGGGGAGACAGGGCAGGAGACGGCTGGACACAGCGAAGTGCAGTGAGTGACTGAGGCCCACCGGCTCCGTCGGGCCACTTTTCTCTCCTTAGGGACGACACGACGTGACACTTCCTGTGCTGTGCAGTATCTGCAGGGTCTGGTCCCTGGTCTCTAGCGCTGTGAGCCACTCAGGGTGGATGAGGGCAGCGGGTCTGGCTGGGCCCCGAGTCTTCCTCCTCCGTCACGGCCTGTGCTAGTCTTTCCTCTTCAGGGACCCCTCAGGGGTCGGGGAGGAATACATTTATGTCAAAGCTGACGGTTCTCCTCTTGGGTGATGCTGGTACCCAGGGGACACTTGTCTGCCTGGGGACATTCTTGTCACCACCAGGGGAAGGGGATTAAGTGCAGACTAGGATGCTTAACACCCTACACAGGACAACAGGACAGCCCCATGACACAGCAGTGCTGGCCTGAATGCTGCTGTGGCCAACTTGGCACATGGAGGGGACTGTGCCAGTCCAGCCATGTTGACCCAGATGCCTTGTGTCGATGCCTGTGTCCTTGGCTCCAGGTCGTGACAACTGACCCGGCACACAGAATGGAGCTGGTGCTGGCCCAGACACAGTGCCCTGGATGCCTGTGTCCTTGGCCCCAGGAGGTGACGGCCAACCCAGTACACGGAAAGGACTAAGCCTGCCCAGCCAAGGTGCCTGGATGCCTGTGTCCTTGGTCCTAGGACAGGATGACTGATCTGGCATCCAGAATGGAGCTGGTGCTGGCCCTGCCACGGTGCTCCAGAAGCCTGTGTCTTTGGCTCCAGGACGTGACGACTGACCCAGCACACAGAATGGAGTTGTGCTGGACCAGCCACAATGCTCCAGGTGACCTGTGTCCTTGACCTGAGGAGGACGTGACACTTTGGAGAGGACTGTGAGGCGTGGCCTTGCTTGATGGAAAAATGGGGTAGGGGGCCCAGAGGGAGATCTGAGAGAGAAGCGGGTGATGTCAGACCCAGCCTCCTGAAACCACGCCCTCTCAGAGATAAGAGAGTAGGCTGGGGGCCTGACAGGAGCCTGCACCCCTGGATCCACGGGCATCCACTGTCCTTGGCCAGGGAGGAGAACCAGGAGGCAGCAGCACTCACTGTTCATCATGGTCCACTAGTCATGCCCACAAGTACCAGGCCTTCTGCAGCCTGGGGCCAGCACGGGGGTTGAGAGAAGGTTCCCTGAGTGTCCGCCCCCACTAAGAGACACACTGGCCCCTCACTGACCCCAGGACTGTAGTGGTCATACGTTCCACGCTCATCCGTGGAGCCCACCACACTAACTAGCGTGGGATGAGAGAGAGTGCTGACCTGGGTATCTGTTGCTGGGATGTCCACCCCCACTTGGGGACAGGATGCCCACCAGCCCCTCCCTGACCAAGTACTGGGCTAGTCACACGTTCTACGCTCATCCGTGGAACTCACCAAGTTCTCGATGGAGGTCTGAAACTCGCTAATCTTCTTCAGCGTTTCCTTGTCCCGCTTGACCTCGTTGATGTACATGGCCAGGTCCTGGAAGACGACAAGGTGGTTAGCGGTCTGTGCTGGCACCACCAGAGGTGCCTGGCCCTCCACGGAGAACAGCGAGGCTGACACGTGCACCCCGACATGGCCAGCAGCGGGTCATGCCCACTCCACACTCCTGACCCCAAGCAGGTGCCTCTGTGGGATGCAAAAGGAACCCTACTTTCTGGTTTTCAAGAACGGGGACCCTGACACGTTAGTGCCTCTGGAGCTGCCGCAGAACAAGGGGTCTCACGTCAGAGGACCAGCCAGCAAGGTAAGCACAGGCTCCCTCGTGCTGCTGACTGCAGTGCAGTGACCGGTCCCAGGCTTCTCATTGCAGAGATGTGGCCTCTCTCTCCTGGCCCTACGGCCTTACTGCTGAGCCAAAGCCTCGGAGGTGTGGGGACAACAGGTGAGCAGGCCTCACTTCCTGACGTAGAGCAAGCACTGCGGACAAAGCCACAGAGCTGTGAACCACAGGTCAGGAAGGAGCACCTGTCAGCCTCAGCTTACCTGGCTTCTACAGTGTTCTAACATTTTGGGGAGCCTCTATCACTTTGGGGAGCTACGTATAGCTCACCGCTGGGCACTTCCCATTTCCTGTGAGATGGGGGCCAGGGCCTGCACTCTCCCGCCTGGTGGGTCAACCAAAACCCACCTTCAGGCCAGTTACCTACACGCAGAGCACTGCAATCCCCATGTGCGCCACCAGGGGGCAGTGCTCACTAGCAGTCTGAGAGCTGGGCAAGTTAGCAGGGCAGCTGGACAGGGCACCCAGCGCTGAGCAGAACACTGGCCCGGCCCAAGCCTGCCTCGGGTGAGCCCAGAGGCCAGTCATGCCCTGCCCACTAGAAGGGCCAGGTTTCCTAGGGTGGAATTCCCCGAAATGTTAGCACAGAGCCAGATGCGCTCGTGCGGCAGCCTGGTCCTTGGGCTTCCCCCACCTCCTCTGCTCCCTGCCCTGTCCAGTCCACGTCTCCCCTGGCCCAGACATCCCTCAACTCCAGCACACACGTCCGCCCCCACCACAGGCGTCTCCCACCTCACTCGGTCCCCGGCGGCAGCCTCCAGCCTTGACCAGTCTGCAGCCCCCTAACCCTGACCTCTGCTCTCGCCTGGAGCCCAGCCCCCACCCACCCCCCAGGCGGGGCTGAACTGTCGCTGTCCTCGAGGTGGAGCCCGAGAGGCTGCCGTCCACTCTGTGTAGGACTGTCTTGCTGGCTCGGCAGTTCGTCTAAGTGGCCACACTGGTCAGGGACAAGGGCGCCACGGCAGAGGCACTGCTGGTGGTGGGCTCTAGACGAGTTCACAGAGCAGCGGTCCGCCAGGCCCGGTCAGAGGTCTCAGGAGTCACAGGAGCCGGCTAAATGGCTGGACTCTGAGCTAGGACACCTGGCCGGTCTATGAGGTCAAGGCTCGAGCCGGGCTCAGGCCCATAGTCACAGAATCACGGAGATTAGCCAAGGCCTACAGGTGCGGAGTAGATGGTGAACAGGACCCCAGCCTGTGTATACGGAGTAGGGCCTCCGTCCACAGGGGCAACCAAGCTGATGGAGAGTGACTATCCACACAGGCTATTTCTTGAACTACATCCAGAATGCTTGGAGAGATGCTTGAAATCTTACCCTGGAGTTCTCACAGTATTTGAGGGTGTCAGGGGACAATGCTTAGAGGTGATGAGCTACACTCTTCACACAAGTCTCCAGTCAGGGGTCCGGGGCAGCCTGGCTGACGGTCAGGGTGTCGAAGGCCAAGGACACGCACACAGTCTGTCAAATTCCTCAACGTTAGACACGTCTTAGCTCAGAGCCACGGTCAGCCCACCTTCCTGGGGGCTCGTAGAAGGACGAAGGTTGAAGCTCGGGTCTCCAGAGCGTGGGTGAATGTTTCAGAACTGAATCCCAGGACAGCCGGAGGTTTCCCAGAGGGAGTGCTCAGCACTGGGCTGAGTACTGGGGTGCTAGGCAGTCCAGGGGGGCCAGCAGATGGGATGGACACTGGGTATCCTCCTGCCCCTCCACTCACCACAGCACCTGGGCTGGGGCGCTTGCACACACAGTCTTAACACCCACATAGCTGTAGGCCACCCTGCCCCAGTTTACCCGCCCACCTGCATGGCTTCCAGGGCTTCTTTGAGCTGCTGTCTCTCAGGTCGGTCGGTGGAGTGACTCAAAAGTTCCTAGAGGGACAGACGGGGGCCATGTCAGCACTCAGTGGGGGGTCCTGGCCTCTGTCCCATCTCTAGTCTCCAAAGGCCCAGCCGTCCAGCTCCAGCAGACGGGAAGGCTCAATCTGCAGTATGGGTCCCCCAAATCTCACAGATGAGGAGGTGACAAAATCACCCACAGAAAAGATGTGATGGAGCAAAGAAGGGGCTGGGGCACTGGGACACTGAGCGGACCAACTCTGCCCTGATGTGCACCGATTTCCCTTTTTGCTGTACCCACCAGGGTGCTCAGAGACACGCCCCGGCAGTGACAGGCACCTCGGCGGTCAGAGGCACCTCAGCGGTCAGAGGCACCTCGGCAGTGACAGACACCTCGGCGGTCAGAGGCACCTCGGCAGTGACAGACACCTCGGCGGTCAGAGGCGCGCCTTGGCAGTGACAGACACAGGACCCTCCCCGCGCGGAGGCATCTTGTCCCAGCCCCAGTTTTCATCATGCCTCTCCCACACGTCTTCCCTGTGAGGGTCTCGGCCCCTGAGGATGGAGCGCTGCCCACACTGGGCACTCCATCCTCAGCTCGCGGCCCAGGGGCTCACCTTGAGGAGGAGGTGGTACTTGAGCACCCTCTGCATGGGCACCACAAGCAGATCCTGCAGCTTGAACTTGCCCTCCTGGACCTTCAGCGTGCACTCCTGCTGCCAAGAGGGGGCGGGGCTGAGGGCTGGGGGGGCAAGACGTCCTTCCCCAGGATGCTCTGCCCCATCCAGGCGCCCAGCTCTTACAGGAAGACCCTCGGCCCCTCGAGGAGCACCGTATCTCCTGGAGAACCGTAGCTCCATGGTACGTGCAGCCACCCGTTCCCAGGTGCCCCAACTCATCCTGGGGAGCCTCACACCACTGCCCCCCCTTTAATTAGCCTGGGATTCTGGATCCTGAGCTCAAGCCAGGTCTGAGGCACCTGCAGAGGGCAGGGCCACAGCAGGTGGGACACTGGATTCCCAGTGCCCGGGCCTGGAGACCCCTGCTTTCTTTCTCAGAACTGGAGCCTTCGAGAGGGTGCTATGGGCTCCCAGTGACTACAGAGACCAGGGTTTCCCCACCATCTGCCTGGGTACCCAAGACAAGCTGATGCTTTTCCCAGGGGTGCAGCCCCAGCTCCTGTCACTAGAGGAGCAACCTATACCCCAGGATTCACACTGGCTTCTCTAGGAAAAGGAAGTAAGACCCCCACGAGCCAGCCTAGGGGCCCCCAACAGGAGGGACACACAAACTGGGAACCTCACGGTCCAGCCAGGCAGGTCCCAGGCCTGGGGGCCAGAGGCTCCAAGCTCCCTCGGTCCTCAGGTCACACAGGGCTGGGAACCCTCGGAGTCTGGGTCTGGTCTCAGGCTTATGCCTTCAAAGGCCCCAGGTCAAGTGCACCCCAGGCGCCCCTGCACCACTCAGGCCTGGGACAGCTCCTCTGCCTCTCCCATCCCAAGAAAGTCAAAGAAAAACCCTGAACGAGATCTCCTGCCAACAGCAAATGCTCCCCTCCACTGGGATCCAGAGGGTGCTGCTGGCAGGAGGGTCCCCCTTACCTCCACTTTCTGTCGGAAGTCCTCACGGCCCGCCAGGAGCTGGTTCAGCGTGTGCTGGGCGTGTTCCATGTGGCTGCAGTACTCACCGTAGATGAGAAGCCTGGAGTACATGCACACATGTGAACACGTGTACACTCGTGAACACACACGCGTAAACACCCTCTGCCCGTGTGAGCAAGGTCTCAGGGCGGCAGCCGCCCGCTCCCCACACCAGCTGCACAGTGGGCTCTGCTTTCTCCTCACTTCCTGAAGCTGCCTGGCTCGGGGGAGGGTACCCTCTCTCCCAAGGAGGTCCCTCCTCACGGTTGTAAAATTTACAGGGTGTCAACCCAACCCCCAACTTATCCCAAGGGGACACAAACTGGGGAACGGCTGCCACTCCAGGGTAGACAGCTTCTCTGCACATCGCATGGACATAGCCAGCTTGCCTCGCACCTCTCGTCAGGTAACCCACAGACCACTAGCTCCCTCGGTCTGCACCCCACCCACCAGGGCCCCCTTGTCTCTTACAAGCAGGTGGCTTCTGCCTGGTGCCCTGCTCCTGCGTCCTCTTCAGGGTGAGGGGAGGAGACCCTGGGGCACAGCCACCATCTCTGTCCAGCCCCTACCCTGTCTCCCCTTGATTCACCTGGGCCTCTTGACCCTCCCCCTCGGTACAGAGCGGGGCCCCCAGCATGGGAGGCCATGAGCCCCTGACTGACCCTTGGAGGAAGGGGCCTCACAAGGTGACCATGGCTGACACGGGGATGGTGACAAGAGCCACTGCTCCTCAGAACACCGCGTGCAGGTGCTCTGCCCAGTGTGACAATCTCTACACCCCCTCATAAGACAGACAGACGGACAGCTGCTGTCGAGTCCACTCTGACACCTGGTGACCCCACGTACAAGACATCCAAACGCTGCCGGGTCCTGCACCCTCAGTCGCCTCCCTGTTCCTCAGTCCCTCCCGCAGGGCAGCGCTGTGAGAGCCACCACCCCTACGAGGCTGGGTCTATGGCTGCTGCATGCCTTCCAAAAGGGGCCTCAGTTTTCCTACCTAAAAAATGGGGTTAGCGGCCCCCCGTGGTCAGATGACCTGGCAGCTGTCAGCCTGCTGACCCTCGGTGGCTTGTGTGTGGTGGTGACGTGGAAGCTGTGTCTCTAGATGGCACATACCAGCCGAGTCCCCCAGGGCGGGCAGGTTTCGGCAGCTTCCAAGGCAGAGCAGGAAGAAAGGCCTGCCGGCCTAAATGAAAGACCTGTGGCTCCCTAGAGAGCAGGGTCTGCCTCGCCTGCTTTGGGTGCGTCAGTGTGGGGGACACTGTTTTTGGGGAGGGGGACGGCCTTGTTCTGCTGAGTAGCCGCAGTCACGGCCTGCCTGTCTCATGAAGTGGACGGACTGTCACACCAGGTGGAATGAGTAAGACCTGACAGCGATGTGACAGCCACGCAGTGAGCACCGCCTGCTGGGAGAGGATGCTGACAGAAGCGGGGCTGCCACCACTCCCCGTCTGAGAAGCCCAGGGAGGCGAGGGCGCTGCGTCCGGTGCACACTCCGCACACGTCTGCCAGCGCTGGTCTGAAGGTTAAACCCAGCCCGGGGCGGGGGGGACAGCTCACAGGAGGCCTGTCCCTCCTCACACACACCTGTCCCCAGGCAGCGCCGTCTGGTTCTAACACGCCTGGACAGGACTGGAGCTTGCAGGGGGCACTGTCGTGACTCAGCCCTGCGTGAGGTCACAGGGACAGGCTGTGTGCACATTTGTGTGTGTGTGTGTGTGTGTGTGTGTGTGTGTGTGTGTGTGTGTGTGCGCGCGCGCGCACATCTTTAAACAAGGCCCGCGGTCTCCCATGGCGAAGGCAGAGCCAGCCTGGCCAGTTCCAGGTGGCTGCCCAAGGGTCACCTCATCCCTAGTCGGAAGCTTACAGAATCCCAATCTTCCATCTGCTCTGGCAGGCCAGCCTGAAGCCTGAGGCGACCCTGTCCACCTTGAGCAGGTGGGGCTCAGACAGACACAAGCAGAGGGTCTCCCAGCAAAGGGCCAGGCCGTGCCCAGGTGTCCCGTGACAGAAGTAACAGTTTTTAAAGGTGGCCAGCTGTGGTGCCAAGCTGGAATGAGGGCTGGGGCCACGTCCACACGGGGAGAGGTGAGCATCAGTGATTCACACTGTGAGTCCAGACCAGCCCTGAACAGGAGCCCCAGGCAGCCTGCTGAGGTTGGAGGTGGCAGCTTCTCCGGGGAAACTCCACCCAGGGCGGTGAAGGCCGAACAGGATGCTGTCAGACCCTGGGAGCCCACTCCTTACACGGGCATGACCTCGTCAGGGTTCCCCCAACTGTGCACGCCTCTACATCCACCCACCTGCCACCCCAAAACACGGCCACAGCTCGGTCCTGTAACCCCTTACCAGGCCTCACAGAGCAGGCTGGCTGGCAGGGGGCACAGGCAGCTTCTCCCAGGAGGCCCTACTGCCCTGGACAGCAATCCCCTCTGAGACCTGAAGTTATTTTCATGGATTCTGGGAGGGTGGGGTGCCCTCAGTGACCGTATACCACACACTAGGCAGAAGTTCCTGCTCCACATGATGTCCGATCCCAGGGCTGACCCTTGGGAGACCCGGGGAGGTCTGCAGACAGGGAGGGGCAGGAAGCCACCACACTGCCCTCAACTCACCTTTCCTTGAAGTCCAGGAAGACCTTGGCAAGAGTGCTGCCTCCCGCCATCATGGACAGGTCGATGGCCCGCAGGAAGCTGTGATGCACTTTGATCAGGTCCTGGGGAATGGTCAGCACGTTAGCAGGACCAAGGCAGGAAAGGCCGGGAGCTTGGCGGCTCTCCAGTCCCAGTTACAGGCTTTTGCAGATGGGGCCCAGCACCCAGAATGCACTGCACCATGGATGCCAGCACCTGGCGGGTTCCTGCATGACTGCGGACACTGGTGTCTGGTGGGTCCCTACATCACTGGTACAGGCTTTCACAGATGGGGCCCACCACCTCACACACACCCACACCAACAGAGACCCCAGCACGGGGCGGGCTGCCAAACCACCACAGAAATCAGTGCCCAGACACGCGTGCACCGCCACAGGCACCAGGGTGGGATGTTCTACCCAACAGCGCACAGGGTCCCGGCACTTCCAGGGAGCGTCCACAGCTCCCACAGCTGCTCAGGACACATGGGCCATGCTGAGTGTCCAGGACTGTCCCCTCCCTGCCAGGCGTTCTGTGGGAGGGTCCTTCTATCAAGAGTTGGGGACTCAGCCCAGGAGAGGGAGGTGTTTCTGCACATCCAGGAGCAGATGGTGAGTGGACAGTGCTTGGGCCTCCCTTCTGGCTGCCTGTCCACCTGTCTCCTCTGTCCTGACCACAGTCCAGGGCCCAGAACCAGAAGGACACTCCAGTATGGGGTCAGCCTCATCCAGAGCTCATGTTCAGTGCCCACCCCAGACTGACAGGGAGGCCAGTCGACGGCTGCTGGGTCCCACAACCGTGGGGCGAGGGGAGGTTCTGGGGAGGCCTGTGCATGGCTTCCCCACCCTCCTGAGGGAGCGCCCACTCTGCTGAGCAGGGCATGAGCCCTCCATGTGAGCAGACACGGTGGGCAGTCAGCAGGGGGACCTCCTCCTCTCGGACAGTCGCTGGGGTCCCCAGTGCCTCTTCTTCAGGGTGTGTACCTAGCAGCACCCCCGTCCTGTGGGCCACCACAGAAGCTGCCTTCATCTCCAGAAACCAGTCTCAGGAGGAGTGCTGTGTCCCCCTGGGGGTCACACGGTCCCAGATAACCAGGCCTAGGTAACAGACTCCAGGAAGGGGAGGTTTTGGGGGAGACCCAGTGAGGCTGGGACTCACCTCTAGGTTGATAAAGATGGCCGCCATGTCCCCAGGGGTCAGCACCAGCCTCAGCGGGCTCATGTAGTTCTGCAAGAAAGTGGACGTCATGTCTGTGTGTCTCAGTGTGGCCGTCGCCAAAGGTCCAGATGCCACATCCAATAAGCTGCACTTGGTCCTGCCCACTGCACTCGGCCAGTGCTCAACGCTTGCGGCAGGGAGTTTGTGTTCTGAGGGACCACTGCCCCCAGTGACAAGGGTGGGGCCGGACGGCGGCGGGGGAGACTCTGTCCAGCACGGGCAGGTGAGGGGACCCTCCTCAGCATGTGACTTAAACCCTCAGCTGCTTGTGGAAGACATGTGACATGACGGCTGTGGGGAGAGGACTGACCCCCAGGGTACGATGCCCGTCCAACACCCTGACACCTCAGCCTGCCTTCTGAGAGCCTGGGACCAGAGGGCCAGTGGCCAGTCCTCGGTCTGGGCCAAGAGGGACAGCAGGTGTGGCTGAGGCTGTAGTGACTGTCATAGGGGCACCAGAGGCCCTCAGGGGACAAGGACTGCACCCCCACACCCCCACAACCCAGGTCACACTACGGGGGTGGGGTAAAAGGCCAGAGCCGAGCTCCATGCCCAGTCTGGAAGGAAGTAGATTCCAGCGCTATCAGTTCTAAGTGGGGGTGGGCATGAGCCAGGCCAGCACCCCACGGCAAGGCAGCGTGTCTGGGAGGCCTGCAGGTGGGCAGTGCGGAGCGGCTCCTGGTTAGATTCGGCAGCAGGGCTGGGGGCAGAGGGCCTGTGGAGGCACAGGAGGGGTCACTGCCTTCCGGGGTGGGGCGCCCGAGGCCTCTGCACGTTCCAGTCCAGCCGTGACTGCCCTTGACGCCCACCTTCTCGATGTCCTCCAGCGTGCGGTAGTACTTGGCCTCGGTCTCCTGAATCTCCAGCAGACAGCAGTTCCTCTTGTCGTCCTCCGACATACCCATTTTCTGGAGAGAGTGCGTGCTGTGAGTGGACGAGCCCATCTCCACGTGGGTCCTGGACCTCCACAGCCCGCCCCTGGGGGCCTCACAGCCAGGGTGTAATGACCAGGGCAACGTGATCCCGTCCATTTGCAGATGAGAAAACCAAGCACGGGGAGGGGCGTGACTTGGACCCAAGGACCAGCAGCAGCACGAGGAGACGCAGAGGTTTCTAGAACCTCAGGGAGCAGGGGGGGGGGGGCGGGACTCGGCCGACGCACACCTGAGATGCCATGTGTGCGGAGGACTATGGTACAGCTACCATGTCCACTGCTGCTGGCTGAGCAGACGCCAGTGCCCCTCAGAGGCCACGAGAGGCAACATCCATCGAAGTCCGGGGCGCCCTGGACACTGAGGAGCTCTCTGAAGTCAGTGGTTGGTCACCTCTGCTGTGGCTCTGGGGGTAGCACTGACCCATGGCCTGTGGTACTGGAATCACTCAGCTCTAACCCCATTACCCCTCCAGGAAACACTTCAGCTCCCCAAAGCAGTCAGTAGGAGAGGTACCCACATACAGAGCACAGGGTGCCCCCAAGTCTCTCTCCTGAATGCATGGCCCTGTCCACCTGGGGCTGTTCTGTTAGTTGGGGCGAGGGATGGGTACTGGGGGCTACAGTCCCCCTGAAACTGCTGAGCTGTGTGGTACATGGTGGTGTGTCCCTGGGCACAGCCCTAAGGGTCTTCATTCTGGGACCTCCCCAGAGGAGGACGGCACAGGCAGGGCCCCCGTGCTCCCCCCACCACTCACCTGCATGTACCTGATCTGAGGGCATGGAGAGAAATTACAGACAGGTTAGCAGTGCTGACCTCATGACCACAAGCTGCACTCCCCATTTCCACCCATAGGGGGCCCGGCACCATCTACCGGCCACGGGCCAGCTCACCCAGAGAGGGGTCAGCTGTCCTCCAGCTGTGCTTCCTTTGGGAACATCCTGATCCTCCCTCGTGACCATGCAGACAGCTAGTCCAGAAAGGACAGTGGCAGGGCACAGGGCCTGCCCCCCACAGGACCACTGTCCACCACGGGCAGCTCCAGATGAAGCCCAGCTCCCTGGTGGAGATCAGAGCCAGCCCAGCACCTCAGAGAAGCTGTGCGGCTCCAGGAGGCACCCAGGCTCGATGGCCTCTGATGGCACAGATGGGCGCTAAACCAGGCAGGGTCCTCTGAAGGCCTCACACTAGCTGCTGGCCTCCTTCACGGTCAACCTCAGGACTCCCAGCTGTGCTGCCTCACAAGAAAGGTCTGGCCACCAATGACACCATAGTGAAAACTGTCAGTGTTAAAGGCCAGAGGTTCGAAACCACCTCTGTGGGAGAAACATAAGGTAGACAGAGCCCAGCAAAGCCTGGGAGGCTGCCCGCTTTGTCCAGCGAGGTGGCCACACGCGGAATGCGTCTGCTTCTGCGTCTACTGAGAGCCTGGTCATTGGAGCCCTTTGGAATCCTGGTTCTCTGACTGTGCGCTCAACAGACGTTGACCTGATGGCAAAGGGCTGTGTTTGTGGTCTACCAGTTCTAGCCCGGGCCGGCAGGCCACCTGTCAGAGGGCCTGTGGTCAGCACAGGAGCCAGCAGGGCATGCTGCCTGGAAGGCCCTCTGCTGACACTGGGAGGGGCCCCTCCACTCTGCAGTGAGGCCATCGGATGCGGCAGGCCAAGCACAAGGCCACTTTTCAGGAGAAGAGTTTAGGGGAGGCCAGAAAGGGGTGTGAGTCCTGCCCAGCATCTGCCTCCTCCGGCCCACCATAAGCAGGTGCTCCAGCAGTCGGCGCTCCCAGATGGGCCCCAGGGGAGCTGCCCCAGCTTCCTGCTACCCCACAGCCGGCTGCATGCATCACCGAGATGCAAACGCTGACACGGGCCTGAGGGTCTGCTGCGCTGCTCAGGGACAAAGGCCTCAGCTGCCCACACGGCCAGCACAGGGCTCCGACCACCAAGTTCAGAGTGACAGCCAAGGGTGAAGGGGAGCCTGTCACCCCGCCCCCACACAGCCCCCCTCCTGCCGGCGTCCTCCCCACGGCAGCTGCTGCCAGTAAACCACCGCGGGGTGAAAACGCTTCAGAGAGATTAGTCCGCGTTGCTCAGAAATAAATATCCCTCCACATAAAAGGTGCACAGCTGGCTAATTGAGGCCTCTCGCTCCCGGCTCTGCCCACACGGGAGGCGGGGCGCTGAGTCAGGGTGCCCACTGGGGTCCCCCCCACCCCGGGCCGGAAGAGCTCCACAGCTTCACAGCACGGGGCTGCCAATGGCAAGGTGCGTGTTTCCTCCCATAAGGAATTGTGGTTGTTGATGGTGTTGAGTCAACGAGGACTCAAAGTAACAACAGCCTGACCCCAGGCCCGCCCACACTGTCCTCGTCCTCGCCCTGTTCAAGACCCCCTGCCGGCCTGTGTCAGTGCATCGGGGGAAGGGTCTCCTTCATTCTCCATGACCCCCCAACTGTTTCCAGCACATGCAGAATTACAGCTGGAGACCGGACAGAGGGTCAAGCATGAGGCTGGGCTGACCACGGGGGACTGGGTTGAGCACAGAGCAGGACAGCCCAGGGCGCCACAGCTGCACCCCACGGATGCAGGCAGACGTGTCTTCCTCACATTGAAGCTGATGGAACTGAAGGCGGACTTTCTGTGTTAAAGAGCCTGGCCCTTAACTGCATCAACTGCCCTTCCGAGCAGAGCAGACCGCATTCCGAAAGGTCTCCAAGTCACCTCCAGGTCTCCCCAAACCCCAACACGTGAGATGAGCACATGGCAGGCTGCGACCAAGGTGAGATTTCCAGAATGTTCCACAGGGGAAGCCACATGGGGCCCAGGAAGGACCCAGGGACCAGCACAGAGTCAGAGCTGTGGCCTCATAGTCGCTGTCCTGAGAGGACAGGGCACTCACCATGGGCTGCTGTACCTCCACCTTGATGATGTCCTCATAGATGTCGTCCCCTTCATCTTCACACGGGACGCAGTCATAGATGTCCTCGCCCAGGTCATGCTCGCTGCGGCAGGAAGAGAGCGGTCTGAGGGCAAGAGGCCGGACCACGTGGGCCCAGGAGCCGCAGGCAGGCCAGGTCCTCGGGGGAGACCGCACCCGGCTCAGCCCCTTGTGGGGTGGGGACAAGTTTACCCACTCCTCAGTTCTGCCTGCACCAGCGGTGTGCTTGGGGCCCCCAGTGTGACCGCCCCCAGCTTCCGGGTGGGCAGTCCGTGTGGTGACATACTGGAAGCCCAGGAAGGAGGCCTCGCCTGAGTGGGAACCTTCTCATGGCCAGGCCCTGGGCACTGGAGCACATCCGGGGTCTGGGCAGAACCTGTTCTCTGGCTTCCAGCCCCAGCCCCTGCCCAAACCCATGACCCAGGCCCCACAGCCTGCGTCCTCAGCCTGCCCGTGGGAATGTCATGCCTCGTGACCCCCGCCACAGTGCTGGGGGAGCGCCCAGGATACACCCCGATGGAACTCAGTCTCCGGAAAGGACCAACCAAGCCCCCTTCACTGACCCTCCTTGGGTTTCAGGAGCTGCAAACCACAGAGGGAGACTGACCACCTTTCTGCCATGGATCCGTGCTATTGGATCAAAACCAGAGGGTGCAGCCTGTGTCAGCAGCCAACCCCTACCAGCCACACACAATGCCCACACAGCGCTAGTGAACTGCTGAGGTGGGTGTGTTATGTGAGAAAACACAGTCCTCTTCTGGGCCTCACGTAACCCTTCCAGGTGAACATCCCTGTGGCCATGGTACAGAAGAAAACCAGCAAACCGAGGCTGAGTGACGGGTTAGGGGTGCAGAGCCACAGCCCTCCTCACCCCCTCCTCTGCAGGGACGTTCGGGGCATCTCCACATCAATGAGGACTGAACTGAGGTGCATGGCCACAGACCTCCTCACCCCCTCGTTTGCCCCTCCCCCCAAGGATTCTGTCTAGATCTCAGTGCACCAGTAAGGACTGAATTGGGGCGCATAGTCCATGCAGAGCTGGGTGGACCCCACTCAGGATGCACCACGTTTGGGGAAGAAGGTTCACATCAAGGGTTTTCTCACTACCCGTTCCCCTGAGGGGACTGGACAGTCCCCTGGAATCAATTACTTGTGCACAAACCCAGCCTCCCTGCTTCCCCAGATGCTGCCCCCGGGAGACCTTCCCTTCTCCTTGCCTGCCACGCTCCAAGACCACGCATGTCACAGCAGAGTCACTTGTCAGCAGGTGTCACCCCCAAACTTTCCTCATGCAACAGACCAAAGCAGGAGACAAAGCCCCTGTCGAGAATTGTGACGGCGTGGAACTGAGGGGACAGGGCAGTGGAGGGGTGGTGAGCCTGTCCGTGTGTGGAGGGGGCCGTGGGCTCTGCCCAGAAGGAGGGCTGTGCAGGAAACAGGCAGCCCGACAGTCGAACAATCAGAGCTGAGAACACAATTAGAAGTGGGCTGGCTTTGAGGTTGGGGAACAGGGGTGGAGCAGCTGATGCAGGACCCCCCTTCCTTGGCCATGTCCATCACTCACCAATCCCAGGACTCCATCTGCCCAGCCCAGTACCCTTCCCACAGTCTTGTGCTGCTACCCCTGCCCCACCCGGCCACTAACCACAGAGTCAGCCCTGAAGCCCTTCCGGACGAGCCCCTGGATCGGGAGGAGGTGGGGTGCCAGGGGCTGCAGGCAGGGCCCATAGGAGAGCTCCTCGTCACAGTCATGATCCGCTGGACCCCAGACCATGATACACCAGGACCCTCTCAGGGACACAGACCCTGTAACGCACCGAGCCAAGTGCTCAGGGAAACATAAAATGAGGAGGGAACACCCAGTAGGACCACGAGCCTAAACGGTGTGGTGGCCATTCTACAGAGGGTGGAGGAAGTGAGGGCCTCAGTCATCAAGAGCACCCTAGAGCAGGGGGGCCTGGGGATGCAGCAGAGTCATGGGGGCCCTGAGGCCAGGAACCAGTGCCTGGAGAGGTGGTCCCTGCTGCACCATCCTGCTGCCCCCTTTCCAAGTCAGGACTCACACCTATCCCCAGGTCTACACCTGCACTGGCTGAGCACAGGCTAGATGCTGTGTGTGGACCGAGCACCTACTGTGTGCTGAGCACAGGCTAGATGCTGTGTGTGGACCGAGGACCTACTGTGTGCTGAGCAGACAAAATGCTGCATGTAGACTGAGCACCTACTGTGTGCGAGCACGGACTAGATGCTGCACATCGGCTTGTCACACCTTCGCTGCCACAGCAGCACCTAGTTCACCTAGGACAACAGGCACAGCCTCCTGGCTTGCACAACTCTGACAAGTGGATGTGGCAGTGTGACTCACCTCCAAATTACAGAGCAAGTACACCTCCCCACACAGCTCCCCAATGACCTCACAGGTCAAACCGTCTGCTGACCACTGTTTCCCCTACGCTGGTTTAATTGGTTCTAGAACTTCCTATCACCCATCGTGCATTATGTTCTACTGGGGGTTGGCTTCTTGTTCTCAAACGCACACATCTTGAACTCATCCACACCGTGCCTCCACCAAAGGCTTCTATCACCACTGTGCACCGTCCATGGGTGGGTTACTGCAGGGCACTCTCCCAATTTTAACTGAATCTATGTTGCTAGGAAAGGCTACTCCTTGGCTAGGAACATCTTGCTTAGAAAGCCAGAGGGCCAGAGAAGGAGAGAAAGGCCTTCAACAAGACGGATTAACGTAGTGTGACTGGCAATGGACTCAACTGTGTCAGAGCTGATGAGGATGGTACAGGATAGGACAGGGTTCAGGTCTGCTGTTCATACGGTCACTATGAGTTGTACTTGACTAACAAATAAAATAGCTAAAACTGGGGAAAGCTGACATTTCAACAATATTATCTTCCAGTCCGAGAACACAGTATATACTTTTGTCAACTTAGGCCTTTAAAATCTTTGCCTAACAACATTTTGCTCTTTTATCCAGTAGTTTTGGAATTTAGGAAGTTTGGGGCCATTGTTTTCCAATACTCTCTCTGCTCCTCTCTTCCTTGCCCTTCTAGTACTATCATGAGCTGAATTGTGCCCCCCCCCCAAAAAAAAGTGATATTGATGTCCGAGCTCTGGTCCTATGAATAGGACCTTATCTTGAAGTAGGGTTACTGTAGACGTGATTAGTCAGAAGACCCACCACCAGAACTAAGAGAAGCATGGAATGGATTCTCCCAGAGCTCTCAGAAGGGATCAGCACTCCCCACACCGTAATTCCAGGCTTCCAGCCTCCAGAACTGTGGAAGACTAAGACTGTATCGTTCTAAGTACCCAGTGTGTGGTACTGTTACAGCAGTGCTAGGAAATGAACAGACTCCAATTACACCTATGTTGGGCCCCTCAGCATTGCAGTGTGTTTAAGACACTTGGTTTTGATTTCTTTCTTTTTGTCAGGGAGTCTTGGTGACATCATAATTAAGCAGCTGCTAAACCAAAGGTCGCAGTTCAAACACAGGAAGAAAGATAAGGTGCTCTGCTGTGTCATGACTAACAGCCGTGGAAGGCTTGTGGGCAGGTCGACTGTCCCGCAGAGCCACGTGGAGTCAGAACTGACCCGGCGACAGTGGACTGTGGTGGGTTTACTTTCTTCAGTCTTTTCTCCCCTGAATCACAAGCTCCCGGATGCTTCCTTCATGCCCAGTCTTCTACTGAGCTGTTCATGTCAATTATCATGATTTCCAGTTTTACAATTTTTCTTCAGTCCTTGTCCATTGTTTCTGTTTTTTCTCGTGAAGATGCCCATTTGTTCATTCATTTAGTACATATTTTCCCCCTCAGTCCTGGTCACATTCACAAAAAAGTGCTACTAAAGAACTTGTCTGGCAATTTCAACATCTGGGTCATCTCAAGGTTGGATCTAGTGGCATCACTTTTCCTAGTCGATGCCTTACCTTTTCGTGTTTGTCTGCCAGTTTAGTGATCCCTTCTAGTGCCCTGGATGGTATAAAGGACCATGAATCTACTATTTCTCCTGAAGAGTAATATTCATTCATTCCAACAAACAGCAATCTGTCTGAACTCTGCCGGGCTGCCTCCCTGGCATTTACAACAGCTAAAATCATCTCACAGATGCTTTGCTGCTGGAACCCATGGGGTCTCCTGTGCCCGTGAAATTCAATGATCACTGAGGACTTGGGCACATGCACATGCTGGACTCGTGAGCTCTATGGGTCCCCCCATGCACCCCTTCCCTCCTAACTTTCTGGCCTCTCTACCAGCCCTCATTTCTGTACTTTGACACATTTAAGACAGCAATGATCTTTTTCTCTGGGTTTTGTTCTCACATAATATAAGGCCACAAATTGTCAAATCCTGTTCCCTGGAGTAGACCTCCCCGAGAGGTCCCATGTGCCTGATTATTCTCCCATTCTGCCAAATAGACTTCCTCCTCTCACATCCTATAACCGGTAGCTACAACAGTGTCAGTTCAACAAGCTATCCTGCCTCACTGGAGATCAGATGTTCTCAAATTTATGATTTATCATCTACAAAATACTCAATTTTCCCCTAGTGTAAACTGAGGCTCCGAGAGGTAGCATAATGTATGTGCGTCCAGCCAGCGAGTGCTGTCTTTCCCGTACAGTGAGCATGTCCTGTCTGGCCTGAGTGTCCTGCCAGCTAAGAACAAGATGACACCGTACTTCCCCCTCTCGGTAAACCCATCGGGGCATGACCACAGCACCGAGAGCCAACGTGAGCGCCCGCCCCCACGTGTTCACTACCATGTCCACAGCTCGTTCTTCTCCCCAAATCAATAAACACATTGTACATTCATCACTCACACCACAGTTCTCATCCATCGAATTCACCCGGGTACTGACGGTAAACACAACGAGTAAAAGCCCTCGAGGGAGAGCTGCGTTCTGGCCTCTTAACTTGGGACAGAAAAATCTCAAAAATGCAGACACTGTTCCTTCTTTCTCTTTGGCAAGGTGCCTGCGGTCCAAACTCTGCTGAAATGGGAAGTGAGTCACCCCCTCTCTGCCTGTTCTTCGTTCACTGTCTTCCCTG